TTTCAACTAAAAACCTAGAGGTTGGAGTCCTTGTCAAACGGTGTTTTGGACTAAAGTCCCAGAGGGTTGGAGCCCTAGGTAAACGACATTTAACTGAAGTCCTAAAAGGGGTTTTAATATTTTTATCTTTTTTAATCTTTTTCAAAATGTCTTTTTCTCACTGTTTTTTTTTTCAATGTCACATGCTGTTTTTATTTTAAAGCACTTTGAAATGCCTTGCTGCTGAAATGTGCTATACAAATAAAATTTGATTGATTGATTGATTGATTGATTGATTGATTGATTGATTGATTGATTGATTGATTGATTGATTGATTGATTGATTGATTAAAGCATTCCTTCTTTAACTGCTGTTTTTATTGCTGGTTATGTATCCAGTGATCATTGGTTGTATGACACATTTCCCAATCTGTGTCGGGACTATGTTGCTGTGTCACTTGCAGTGACACCTGCTGGATTTAAAAAGTCATAGCAGACAAATTCAATAAAGACTGGAAACAGAACAAGGCTCATTCACATGTTTTTGTTTCGAAACATCAGCCGCTGTAACAACTTTAGGCCGTTTACAAACCATTTCATTGTAATTACATGGATGGAGTGATTTGAAAGAACATTAAAATACAAATAAACACAAATGATGACAAACCAGAACTGCAATCAGATGGTTGAGATGAAGATCCAGTTCAATCGCCTGCTTTCTGGAAACACCAGGGTTTATAACAGAGTGTTAATCGGTTCCTCCCCTTCATGCCAGGTGATGATGCTTCAGCATCGGGAAGAGCTCCAGTTACAGTAAGACAAAACCTGGGAGCCAATCCTACATTCATCTACAATATAATAAAAGATAATCCCTGCAAACTAATTCAAATATTCTATATCTATTGGAATAATCCAAAAGGAAAATGATCAAAAGTGGAAACGAGATCGGAATAATTATTTTCCTTAGTCTCTGTCATAAAATCAAAAGAGAAAACTTCCTCTTCCCCTGTTGATCCATACTGGTATTCAAATACGAGCCAAAAACCAACACAAAGCCAGGAACACAAAGTTTCTCCATTCAACAAAATCCACAAACATGTCGACACAGTTTCTCCCTCATCTATGGGTTTCAGGTGATGTAGCACCGACGTCAATCCAGATGGAGGGCCAGAAGTAAATTCAACCCATTTATTTCTGTTGATCCAGCATCAAAATGTCTAGTCTGAGTCCTTTACTGTTGCTCCAGCCGTTCTAATAGAGAGAAAGATAAACGTTATTTTCATGTTTTGAAGTTGATCAAAAGGGAGTTAATTTTAAAACACTTACATAAAAAATAGGAGAAAAGTGGATCTACAGCGAATAACACAAGGTACAGAAACTAACAATGCAGCACCACCTTCTAATAAGTAACAATCGCATCGTTTAAATTGTATTTTCAGATGTTTTATTTTAGTTACTTAGAAAGCCAAGCATTCATAGGTAAGGAAAGATATATTATTTTCATGCCCTATCTTGGTTGTCCTCAGAATGCTAATGTTGTTAGCTCAGTCACGGACAGAAAATATGACGTTTATTCAGAGGAACTTTCTTGCTAAAAAATAATAATAAAAAAGCTAAATGAATTAAATATAATCTATCCAGCCATACAGTCACCGTGAGCTGTTACTGTCCCCCTCATGCTTCGTGTCTGGACACCAACAGACACGAACACGAAGTTTCTGTAGATCAGAGCGAGTCGTTTGACCTACGTCTGAATCCAGCCTCCGACAGCGACTCAACATTAACGTACAACTCCAGCACGAATTTGGGTTTATAGAAGCTAAATAAGTTATTTACCAGGAGATTAAAGCTAATAAATAACATGTTGTTAGCAAACTAACTCGTTTTGACAAACAGCTGAAACCCTGAGTGCCTTAAATCAAGACTGAAAACCAACCTGGTTAGAACCACGTTTAAAACATTAGAAATGAAACATTAACCAATATGACGTGTAACAATGGCAAAATGTAATCGTCCAATTGTTGATTGTGTGTTTTATGACTTTGTATTTTTATTATGTAAAAAAAAATTATGTAAAAAAAATTATGTAAAAAAAACAAAAAAAATCTACTTTGTCCCAATGGAGCTCCTGTACACAGGAAACTGCTTGCTGTTGTTGAGTCATCTTCAGGCACTTTCTGAGACCCCGCCTCCTCCATATGGGCGAATCACGATGCAGGTTCATCCAGATCACATGATACAGCTAGTAGAAAGTGTAGTGTAATGGTGCTCTTGGTCTTTACATCATAAAGTGCTGAAATGTGATGTACAAATAAACTTGATTAGCTTTATCTAAGGGACTGAATATTTATGCAATCAATTATTTGATGTTAAATATGAAAATCTGATTTTCCTTTAACATTAAAATCTTTACGTTGTGATTTTTTATTTTTTGTCAAAAATGCCAAATTTTGTTGATGACATAGTTTGTAAAAGCAATAAAACATTAAAACATCCAAGGCTGGATATTTTTCATTGACACTGTATCTCACTGCTGAGATTTATTTAAGCACAATGTTTTTCCTCTGTTTTTGCCATCAGTATTTGGGTCTGCATACAAATTGAATCAATTAGCGGTAATGCAGTCACAACTGCATAATGTACGGGTAAGAAGTTTTGCTGTGGCAAAGAGGATTTGGCAACTTTATCATGAGCAAAGTCTGTTCCTCAACCAGTATCTCTGCTGCCAGTAACTTAACATTTGTCCTCAACAGATGATGCATCTGGCCTGTCATTTAATGTTCAACCCTGTTTCTCTTTGTGGCACAAGCTATTAGCTGAATTTGTGCTACGATTAGCATGTGTTCCTACTATGGTGCAGTCTTTACAACATGTTTACCTGTTTAACTGTGTTTCTATGGAGGAAGCCACTAAACGAGCTTCTACTGCCCTTAACTTACTTTTTCTTTAACACAGAGTTTAGTTCAGTTTATCTGTAGATTTTCAGTGTATCTGCTCCGTCTCATCAAACTCCAAGCTGTTGTGGCCTGAAATGACATAAGATCATTTATTTGTCTCCCATGAGAGAGAAACTTGTCTTAGACATGATCAGACTTACATAGAACTTTATTAGGACACTCAAAGGCGCTTTCCAATGAAATCAGTCATTCCCATTCACATGCTAGTGATGACAAGCTACTGGGTAGTAGCCACAGCTGCCCTGGGACAGTCTGACAAGGACACAGTTCCAGTTAAACCCAGTAGAGTTGTTTATATATGAGATGCTAGGATAGAAAACACTTTTTCATGGCATGCCTTCTAATGTATCTAATGTTTGCTGTCGAGATAATTAACTATTTTTGAACCTTCTTAAATTTCTGCAGCAGCTATAATAAATGATAGATTACACTTTCAAAGACACCATCTGAGTGTAGGCAACTAATGGTTCATTAAGCTAGAACTAAACAGTGATCTAGTTTCTCATTGGTCCACCGACTCCAATATATTTTACACTCCAGATTGAAAACAAAAAGGTGAGTTCTTCTTGCAGCATTTAAATCAAAATGAGATCTCTGAGCGCCCTCTTCTGGTTGAAAATGATAATTGTCTATCATGAAATGCAGTTGCACTCTGACTGGCCAGTGTCCTGTCCTTGATGCCTCATCAGGGTTCCTCTCTGACCTCTGACCTCTGTGTTGTTTCCTCCACTGCAGGACAGACGATCAGAGCTGAACCTGGAGAAAACGCCATCCTGCCATGTGAAGCTCCTGAGAAAAAACCTGTCATCATTGTAGAGTGGAGAAGATGTGATCTGGAGGGAAATGATCATGTTGCTCTGTATCAAGATGATCAGTTTGATGATGAGGGTCAGAATCCAGCTTATAAGAACCGAGTGGATCTACAGGACAGAGAGATTAAGAATGGAGACGTGTCTTTGGTTCTGAAGAATGTGACGACTGATGATACTGGAACATATGAATGTAGAGTGAATCAGACAGAAGTTAGACGCAGGAAGAGATCTCACCTGAAGAATGAGCCCATCATCTGCATCATCAACCTGGTTGTTTCTGCTCCAGGTGAGTCTGACTGGATCAGAACCTGCAGCTGCTTCATGGTTATTAATGTGAGAGAGAAACATGTCAGATCAGATGTTTGGTTTTCTGTTGTATCAGTAGAAATCAGCTGGTCTGAGATCAGCAGGTGATGATATTCAGCAGATCAGACTAACTCCTGGTTCTGTTTACAGGAAACAAGGAAGGACAAAAGGACAGAGGGAACGAGGAAGGACAAAAGGACAGAGGGAACGAGGAAGGACAAAAGGATGGAGGGAATGAGGAAGGACAACCAAAGGATGGAGGGACCAACACTGGACTGACAGTTGGTCTCCCAGTTGGACTCCTTGTTCTGGCTCTATTTGCTGTTTCAGGTTTTCTGCTCTGTAAAAAACTGAGACGTTCATCACAGGAACAGAACCAGCCTCCTGCAGCAGAAGCAGAACTTCAGGCTATGAATGTTGAAAACCATCAAGAACCTGAAATGTGAACATTTAGACATTTTTACTGCAGAACAAACTTTCATCACTGAAGTTCAGCTGAAGATTCACTTCACCTGTTTTCATCCGATCTTTTTACAGCAGAGAATGAACTGAATGTCAGAAACAATCCGTGAAAAGACCTGCAGCTTCTTTTTAAGGTTTTATTGTAAATGTCAATCTTTTGATGGCGTCTGTTCCTTCATCAAAGTTACCACCAAAAGAAGGTCACACTAATATTTCATTGAACCGCCTTTAGCTTTTACAACCCCTGGCATAAAGCATCACCTTGGATGAGCGCTCATTCAGACATTTCCTGCTGTAAAACAAACTCGGATCAAAACCATGGTACAATAAGGTCATTCCAAAGTGCATCTTGTTGTCTTTCAGGAACACTCAAAGAAATGAAGAGAAAACATTGTGGAAGTCAGTGAATGATACTTTTACTGACCAAGTACAGGGAAATAAATATGGAGTCACTCAGTTCTGAGTGTGCAGCAGATCTGCAGCTCATCCCAGAGGTTCTCAATGGAGTTAAAGTCTGGACTCTGTGGTGACCAGTCCATGTCTGAAAATGATGTCTCACCTTCCCTGAACACTTTCACAATCCCGACTTTGTCATTTTGTAAAATGGCCCTTCCATCAGGGAAGAAAAAAATCCACTGATGGAATAATCTGGTCATTCAGTCGAACTGTTGCTGAACTTTGACCTGACCAACTGCAGCAACCCCAGTAGGCATGATGGGTAATCCCCTCACCAGCTCCTTTGAACAGGTAAATGCACTAAACTGCTGTTCTTCTTTAGCTTTGTTTGCTTTTGTTTTAAAATAAGTTTGCTTGTATAGACCTTTGTTTATCATTTTATTACACTATGTTCAATAAAGTCAAACTTGAACTTTTTCTCTGAAAGAGAGAGAGAATGATTTGGATTCCCTCCAGTAGAATTTCAACCAGCAAACAGAAGATGATGTGAACAATGACATTAACTTTCTGTTGTTTCATGTTTGCAGTTTGCTGTAGTTTAAATGATGGCAGCGAGGAAGTGAAGGAAGTCGTTCAGTCAATGTTGGTCAAGCTTCAAAATACTAAATTAACATTAACAGCCACCTCATTCAGCCCAGATCTTCTTCCTTTGCAGTGGAGGATGGTTGTTTACAGCAAAGGTCATTTCCAGTAAGCTTCATATTGTAATGAAGCAAATAAAGCAGCTGGTTTTCACCAGGCTGCGGTACCACAGTTCAACACATATTGCTTTAGATTGTAAGCAAAATAACATGGCCATGAAGGCTTTAATACAAGCTCCATAATATTCTGCATTTTTCTGTTTTACTCATGTTGCAGAATAAAACAGCAGTCTGAATATGGCAGCTGGAATAATTTGAGTTTGTTGCATTTTCATCTTTGCTGATGAGACTTTTTATGCTTTTTTTGAATACATTTCTAAACAAATCCAACTTTTGTAGTTTAGTTTCCATTCTTTTATTCATCATCTCTTCTCTGATGATGAATAATGAAAGGTGAAGTTCACTTATTGACTCTTTGATAAGTACATCAGAATATTTTTGTTAAACTGGTAAAAGTTGAAAACTTAATTGTCCTGAATTGTAATTCAGGTAAATGAGCATCAACAAATGTATTCAGCAGACCAAAGGGACCAATCACAGATTCACTGATGATACAGAAGAGACATTGCGCACGTCGTACCTCACACCAAATAAACAATATCTTTTATTGGAGGATTATAAGGAATGAAAGCAGATCAAGAAAAAAACTGCTACTACAATACCAAATGGTAGCGGATCGACTGAATCCATAATTTGCTCAAAATATACATTTCCAAACCATCATTAACTAAAAAAAACATCATTAACATACCTATCATTTGCTCCAATAAAAAGCTTTAAATTTACAATGAGCAGTGAAAATCTATGATGAAACATGTTAATCTGACAGCAGATTCATTCATCTGATCTTTGTTCCACATCTGATCAATATTTATACACATTAACCATGGCAACAGGTTAAGATTAAATATGAGAACATGTTGTAATATCTGGTAAAGGTTGACTCCAGTATACAAATGACTTGTACTAATGACTTTGACCCTTGATTAGTTTTGAGAAACGTTAGGTTATGAATAATATTTTTTACATTTATCACATTCGTCTTTAAAACCTATATCATTCTTCTGTTTGCCTCTAACTTGTGCTGTAACGAATGTGTTGCAAGAGTCATAAAAGCAGGAAGTCAGACTCTTTTGAGCCAAAGTGCAGGCAGACTGAGAGTTTACCTGATGGAAGAAACAGGTACAGGGTAAAGGTTGTGACCCAGAGAAGCAGGACCAAAGCTTAAGGCTTTCTGAGAAGATGGGGGGGTTGAGCATGTTTGCAAGCTGAGTTTTTATTTGTCCCCTCCTCCTCTTAGCAGTTTGCAAACTTTGTAAATAGGGAACACCCATTTGTAATAAAAGGTGCAGCGGGGGGTGAGAGCCTCAGAGCGAGGTGGAGACTGTAACTGATGGTTCTCTCCTCATGAGTAAATCTAATCACTTGTCTCTCTCTTCTTTGTGTTTGTGTCAAAGTGCTTTAAATTGTTTGAACCTGATAATAAACTTCCTGTTTGAGTTTTGATGCTTTTATTTTGAAGGGAAATTTCCTGTCCAGCTGTTGGCAGAAAGGCATCTTAATGGTAAAGACAAAAAATTGTAACAAAATTTATAAAATTTATCTTATTATCAGACCCTTTCATACAGACGAGGTATGTTTATGTGACTGAAGTTGTGCATTTGTTTAAACATAACTTATATATCTTGATTTGTTTACTATTCTGTACATTTATTACTTTATGACCCATTAGTCTAATCCCCTCATCACTGAAGTGGTCTATTAAAGGCCTTTCTGTCAAACTAGATCAGCGGTCTAACGAAACACAAGCAAACAGGAATAATACCCACATATTGATCATATATTCTACCATCATGTTTAGATAACTATACCAAGATTGATCAGTGGCATTTTAATGCAGGGTGATAAAAAAAATACCAAAACAAACAGAAAAGTTAGGCTGGTCTGGAGCAGGCTGGCTGCACAGAGTAAATCTCCATGGTAACTTATGTTACATGTTTTGTGAAAACTAAGGAAGGCATAAAATATCCGGAAAATCCCAGTTTAAGTTTTTATTTGTTGAATGTCTTCATTAATTTGTTGAATCTGCCTGTTGCATTTGGTTTCTACTCATCTTCAAAATCATGACACTCATCTATGCTGTTATTTATTACTGAGATATCAGGTGGCTCAGTGAAGTGAATATGGTGAGAATACAAATAATAATAATAATAAAAGAAAATTGATGGTGTCATGGTTCTTTGGAGACACTTTGAAATCCTTGCTTTCTCCTGGAGACAATAGTTTCATCCTGCAGTAGAAAGGAAAGTGTTAACAAAATGGTTTCTATCTTTCATCATCAGTTTGTGGGTTTATGTGCTTTAAGTTTATTACCTTGGGATCTGTGCTGATAAAAAGACACAAAGAGGAGCGTAGAGATGAGGTATGGACAGAAGACCAGCAGGCGGCGCGTCACTGTGAACACGAGCTGCACGGGGTCTGATGCAGGAGGCGGAGCTTTGGAGGTGGGAAGGGCTACTTTAAGTTTATCTGGAGAAAAAAATACATTTAATTTTGACCCTAAAACTGGAAGAAAAACCTCTTGCTGACTCATTTTGCTCCCCTGATCAACTGATCTATTTAGACCTTAATGCAGGGGTCCCCAAGCTACGGCCCGCGGGCCACGTCATTTAGTCCCGCCTCCTCATGCCAGAGAGCATTCAGTGTTTTTTTTTCATATATTGTATTTTCCGGTTTATATGTGGATTTTTCTTCAACCACCAGGGGGCTTTTGAGCAAATGTGAAACTTACTTTCCCTCAATGGAATATATACTCGTCAGTCACCGTTTCACTCACGGTTTTTTCCATTTGCATTCTGGGTAAAAATCTATCTAAAAGCGCGAATGTGTCGTCACCCCCTCCCCCTCGACAGTTTCAAAGACAGAACAGCCCTTCTTCCACCCCCCCCAATCCCCGTCGATAAGAATTTTCTAAGGTTTCTTTCTCCAAAACCTAAGACCGGCCCCCGACCAGAGAAAGGAACAGCTATGTGGCCCTCACAGGAAAAAGTTTGGGGACCCCTGCCTTAATGGCTTCTTGTGTTTACCGTTTACTTTAAAAGAAATTCACTAGTAACAGCCATGGAACACACTCTGTTAGACTCTGTTAGTTCACTACCCATCTTACAGCTTTTATTATCCCTCATCCATTTGGCATAATACAAGTGTGAGGGGTGTACTCACTTTTGTGATACACTATATGTAAACTTTAAACAGCAAGCAAATGTTTTCTGGAATTTATCAAATAGAACTGATTTAGGTAATTTTAACAAATCTAAAACAAGAAAAGTTTCAGACAGTGAAACGTAGTTTGGTTCTTTTTATTCGATGTATGTAAATATCTGGTTTCAGCTGCACCTCTCACTCACCATGTAGTGTTGTTGAAATAGGCAACTGAACAGGATAATAGCTTCAGCAACCTTTCTGAATTCACAGACAGTTAAGATAATCCACCACAGATTATGGTAGATTATCCCACAAACAGGATGTTGAGTTTGTGAGGCATTTCTTTTCCTGCTCTTAAGCCATAGGTCTCCTCGTGAAGGCACAGTTCATTTCTGAGTTATTTCCAATAATTTCTCACCTAAGATTACCCCTCTGTAGGTTTGTAAGCTTCACCAGGACCCTACAAGGACCAGTGGGTATACATAATGGAGAGATGGGTACATACAGGTGTGTGTGGCTGACCTGAGACAGAGATCCAGCTGGATGGAGACTCTCCCTGATCAATGATGTTGCACTTATAGAGGCCTTCATCAGATTTCTTCACCAGGTTCAGGGTCAGGTTCCCAGTAGTTCCATGACCAATGAAGGAGCCATCTTTATAGAAAGCAGCTGGGAGGTTGTGGGCTGGACTCTTTGCTCTGCAGCTCAGAGTGACGTCATCTCCCTCCATCACAGGGAGGACAGGACTCTGCAGGATCACTGATCCACCTCAACACAGAGACAAACTACAGCATTTCATCCATTTCCACACAGCAACACTAACTCCACAGTCTGATCTTACCAACAGTGAGGTTCATGCTGCTGCTGGAGGATGATCCCTCTTTGGACTCACACCAGTACACACCAGTATACTTTTCCAAAATATAGCTGATGCTGCAGGTAGAACCAACTGGTTTCCCCCATCCTTTTCCACATTCAGTCCTGGTTCCTCTGGTTGTGTTTCTCTTCACAGTCCATCCATCAGAGCTGTTTTCATCCTCACAGATCAGAGTCACTGATTCTCCTCGAATCAACTGAGATCTGCTGGGACTCACAGTCAGACGAACTGGGACAAAAGCAGGAGAACATATATTTAATTTAAAAAAATATATTGCATGAAGTCCCAGTGGATGGAACACCCAAGCTGTCTGCAAATGGAGATTGCATTATTCACCTTTGGCCAGGGCCCTTGGATCTTTGATCCAAGGGCCCTGGCCAAAAGGGGGGGCAATTTATTTATTTATGTTTTCATTCATAGGAATTTAATTAAACAGGGTCCTGTCAATTACAAAATTAATCATATTGTATTTTAAAACATTGTTTTTAGCAGTAAAAATGTAATGTTCCCTCTCCCAGATCATAAAACACACATCAATATTTGCCCTGAACCCCCCTGTCTGCGTTAAATGGTTTGTTTGTGCTTGGAGCTTCAGAGTGACGCTGTTAGCAGCAGACAGTGGGAGATACTATGCTGCCTAGAATAAGAATGTCAGGTTTTCAAATAAAGAGAGGGAGAGAGAAAAAGGTAAGAGTGTTAATTTATAACCCAGTTTTTCTCCAAGAGAGGTG